TGGTATTGCCCATTTTTAATCTGACACTCATGTGGGTTTCTAAGCAAGGAAAATAAAATTGGAAAGAAATGGTGTAACATTCATAGTAAAAAATAATATTTCAAGATCTGTTTTGAAGTATAATGCTATCTGCAATAGGATGATATCAATATGGATACAGGAAGACTAGTTAATACCACGAAGATTAAAATTTATGTGCCAACCACTAAAGCCAAGGTTGATGATGAACTTGAAGAATTCTACCAAATTCTTCAGTCTGAAACTGATCAAACATGCAATCAAGATGTATTGATAATTATTGGTGATTGGAATGTAAAAGTTGAAAGCAAAGAGGAAGGATCCATAGTTGGAAATTATGGTCTTGGTGATAGAAAAGATGCTGGGAAACACGTGACAGAACTTTGCAAGGCCAATGACATATTCACTGAAAATGCCTTTTTTAAACAACATAAAAGATGACTATACACATGGGCCTCATAATTAAGGTACACAGAAATCAAGTTGACTACATCTGTGGAAAGAGATGGTGAAAAAAGCACCATATCATCAGTCAAAACAAACCAAGGGAATACTGGAGCAGAGCATCAATTATTCATATGCAAGCTTAGGCTGAAGTTGGAGAAATTAAAAGAAGTCTACAAGAATCAAAATTTGACCTTGAACATACCCCACCTGAATTTAGAGATCATCTCAAGAACAGATTTTATGACTGAAGAACAGAAGAACTGTAGGATGACATCAAGAACACCATACAGAAAGAAAGCAAGAAGTCATTAAGAAGACAAGAATGAAGGGAAAGTCCCAAAATGGATGTTAGAAGAAACTTTGAAATTTCCTGTCTAGTGTAGAGATGCTAAAGCAAATTGAAGAAATGGGAAGACAAAAGAGCTGAAGATAAATTTCAAAGGGCAGCTTGAGAAAACAAAGTCAAGTATTATAATGAAATGTGCAAAGACTAAGAGTTAGAAAACAAAAAGGAAAGAACATGCTCAACATATCTCAAGTTGAAAGGATTTTAAAAAAAGATTCAAGCTTCAACTTTCAATATTGAAGGATTCTATGGGTAAGTGATACAAAGGTAGACACACAATCAGACAGATTGGAAGAGTGGCAGCATCAATGGGCTCAAGCTTAACAACAATTATGAGGATGGTGGGCACAGTTTCATTCAGTTGTGCACAAGAGAGTCTGAACAGACTCAAAGGTACCTAACAAGAACAACGGCAAAACACATAATGATGCAGAAAGCACCAAAAGAAGATGAAGGAATACATAGAATCACTACCAAAAAGAAACGGTTGACCATCAACCATTTCAGTAGGAAAGATATGATCAAGAGGCAACAGTATTGAAGAAAGAACTCTCCAAGATATACTGAAGACATTAGCAAAGAACAAGTCTTCAGGAACAGATGGAACAAAAATTGGAAACTTTCAACAAACTGATGCAGCACTCAAAATGCTCACTCATCTATGCAAGAAATTTGGAAGACAGCTACCTGGCCAACTGATTGGAAGAAATCCATATTTGTGCCCATTCCAAAGACAGGTGACCCAATGAAAAGCAGAAATCATCAAACACAATCATAAATTGCACATACAAGTAAAATTTTACTAAACATAATTTAAAAGTAGCTGCAATGGCACATGGTTAGGGAATTGCTCGAGATTCAAACTGGAGTCAGATAAGGATATGGACTGAGGAATGTCATTGCTGATGTCATATGGATCTTGGCAACAAGTAGAGAATATCAGAAAGATGTTTGCCTGTGCTTTATTAACTATGCAAAGGCTTTCAACTGTGTGGATCATGACAAGCTATGGAAACATTGTGAAGAATGGGTATTCCAAAACACGTATTTGTGTCTTTAGGAACCTGCACATATACCAAGAAACAGTCGCCAGAACAGAACAAGAGGATAGTAAATGAGCTAATGTGCTCCAGGGTTGTATTCTTTCATCATATTTATTCAAACTGTATGCTGAGCAAATAATCTGAGAAGCTTATTATATGAAGAATAATGTGGCATCAGGATTGTAGGAAGACTCATTAACAATCTGTCATATTCAGATGATACAACCTTGCTTGCTGGAAGCAAACAGGACTTAAAATACTTATTGAAGAACAGAGACCACTGCCTTCAGTATGGGTTACACCACAATGTAAAGAAAACAAAAAACCCTCACCATTGGACCAATAACTGTAGAAGCTTTGAAATGATCAAAGGCTTCATTTGGTTGAATTCACTACCATATATGGAAGCAGCAGTCAAGAAATCAAACAATACATTACTTTAGGCAAACATACTGCACAAAACCTCTTTAAAAGATTCGGCAGTAAAGATATCAGCTTGAGGATTAATGTGCACCTGACCCAAACCATGTTATTTTCAATAACCTCATATGCATGTGAGAATTGGACAATGAATAAGGAAGACTGTAGAAGAAATGGTGCATTTGAGTTATGGTATTAGAGAAGAATATTAAAAGTTCCATTGACTGCCAGAAGAATAAATAAATCTGTGTAAAGAAGTACAGCCAGAATGCTCCTTAAAAGGCAGAATGAGAAGACTTCATCTCCTATATTTGGACATATTATCAGGAAGAACCAGTCCATTAAGAAGGACATCATGCTTGGTGAAGTTGATGGTCAGCTAAAAAAATGGAAGACCCCCTATTTTCAGATAGATTGACACAGTGGCAGCAACAATGGACTCAAGAAGACCAATGATTGTGAGGATGATGCAGGACCAGGCAGTGTTTTGTTTCATTGTGCATAGAACTGTTATGAGTCAGAACAGACTCAGCAGCACCTAACAATAACAACAATGGTTAATGATCTTGAACATTTCTTCATGTATTTGTTGGCAGCCTGAATGATAGACATGTATTTACTTAATTCTATCATTTCTATGGTTACCTTTTTATTTTTGGTCTTGAACAAGATGTAGAGTTTTTCCAGAATGCAAATGATAACAGTTGTTGTTGTTAAGTGCTGTCGAGTAGGCACCTTATATAGCTCATGTATCATATATTCCACAGCAATCCTTTCTTACAAAACTGAATTGATTGACAATGTGACACAAGGTCATTATCTCATAATAGATTTATGATAAACTGTCTATGGACTGTAAAGGATCTCTTGAAACTAATTTGCCTCTTTGAGATTTTTCAGGCGTGCCATGTAGTATAAAATTTGACTGTGTGCACCAGAAATATCAAATCGTGTTCAGTGGATTAGTCTTACAAATTCCCTGGAGAGTTCAAATCTTCTCCACTCAAAGCCACCCATTAGAGAAAGAACAATTCCCTTGGAGAAAAAAAAAAAAAGTGATTATCATTTCACCCTTTATTGTTATGTTTATAGCATGATTCTATGGGGGTTGGTAACTACCAGCTTTGTGTTGGGGTCTTCTGTTAGATTTTCCACCTTGACTAAGGCTTTGTTCGAGATTTCTTAGTCCTATGAAGTACCATGGATTGCCAGAAGATCAAACAAGTCTATGTTGAAAGAAGTACAACCAGAATGTTACTTAAAATTCAGAATGGTGAGACTTTTCTCTCATCCTTCAGACATGTTGTCAAGAGGGACCAACATCATGCTTGGTAAATTGGAGGGAAAATGAAGAAGAGGAAGTCTCCCCAAGAGATGGACTGGCACAGAGGCATCAGCAATGTGCTCAAGTGTAACAACAATTATGAGAATGGTCTGGTCTGGGTGGTATTTTGTTCTGTTGTGCATAGGGTTACTCTGAGGCAGAACCAATTCAACATCACCTAACAAGAAAAACAACAGGAAGTGTTAAAAAAAATCTATGCGAAGGTTCGTTTTGTTGATTTTTTTGACAAGTATCTATACTAAAGACAGATTCACTGTTCTGCCTCCTCACTTTATCCTATTTTCACATAGTGTTTATTTTGAGTAATTTTTTTTTTTTTAACTAAAAAGTCATGCATTTGAGAAGATTATAAAATGTTTCATCTAGTAATTTTAGTTTGTGGTCTAGGTAGCTAGTCCTCCACATTATCTCAATATAATGATTAGCTTCTGTTTTTTATACTAGTACGCTATGGGTCGGACCCGACTCGATGGCACTTAACAACAACAACAACACTTCATTAGAATTCATTTTGCCTCCCATACCAATTCATTCTTCATTAATAGAAAAACTGCATGCATATATTATTTTTAATGTATAATACTTCATATATTGTTTTATTTAACATAATATGCTTAACAATATTTGCTTAAAGTTTGAAAAAGGCAAGATGGCACCTTGATGGCTAAGGTATGATTTAGCCCAATCATGGTTTTCTCAAACACCTCATATGCATGCAGAAGTTAGATGATGACAAAAGAAGACAAACTGAAATAATTGAAGTGTGGTTTTGGCAAAAAAAAAGAAAGAAAAAATGAGCATACCACAGACTTCAAAAAGAATGAACAAATCAATCTTAGGAGTAATACAACTGGAACACTCCACAGAAGCAAGAATAGTAAATCTTCACCTTGTGTGTCTTGGACATATCAAGAAAGACCAATCACTAGAAAAATACCTCGAGTTTATAAAGTAGAAGATCAGTAAAAAGGAGGAAAATTCTTAATGAGGTGGATTGACAAAATATTTTGATAATGTGCTGAAAAATACCAAACATCATGGAAATGGTACAAGACAGAGCAAACTTTTGCTCTGTTATACATAGGTCTCCATGTGTTAGAATTTGGAGTTTCATAGCTACTAGCACTAACACAAAAAAAATGTTTAATGCACAATATTATTTAAGGAAACAACAAAACTGGAGGTTTGTATGATATACATGTTCTATTCAGTATGTATATCATATATTAATAGAAATTTTAAAATATTAAGAAATAGAAGTGGTCAGTTTTTCTTCTGCTTTTAAGTTGTTGGAATGTGTAACTTTTAAATTCAATAACTTGTGAATACTGAGATAACAAGAGATTTCTTTTTCTTTCTCTCTGTAGATCTCAGGAGCACCATGGAAGTAGGTGAAGGAAGAAACAGCACTACAGTTACCTGGTTCATCCTCGTGGGATTCTCTGAATTTCCAAAGCTCACAGTCTTCCTCTTTTCAATATTCCTAGGGATCTACCTCATGACAGTGTTCTGGAACCTGGGTCTTATTGTCCTGATCAAGATGGACTCCCACCTGCACACACCCATGTATTACTTCCTGAATAAGCTTGCATTCTTAGATATATGCTATGTTTCCTCCACAGCCCCCAAGATGCTCTTCGATTTCTTTCAGGAATTTAAATCCATCACTTTTTGGGGGTGCACCATGCAGTACTTCTTCTTCTCTTGCTTTGGTCTAAGTGAGAGCTGTCTTCTGGCCGCCATGGCTTATGATCGCTATGCTGCCATATGCAGTCCTCTACTTTACACAGTCATCATGTCCCCTGCTCTCTGTCTGCAGATGGTGGTAGGATCTTGTATAACTGGAACCTTTGGCTCCTTTGTCCAACTGTGTGGCTTACTTCAGCTCCATTTCTGTGGGCCAAATGTCATTAACCACTTCTTCTGTGACATGCACCAGATGATGATGTTATCTTGCTCTGACACCTTTTTTGTACAAGTTGTACTTTCTGTGCTCACAGTCATCTATGGGCTGGCCTCTGCCCTGGTTATCACGATATCCTATGGTTATATCATTGCCAGTATTTTGAAGGTCAGTTCAGCCAAAGGCAGGTCCAAGGCTTTCAACACTTGTGCATCTCACCTAACAACAGTGACCCTTTTTTATGGTTCAAGCACTTTTGTGTATTTATACCCGAGCTCTGATGATTCTCTCAGCCAAAGCAAACTGGCTTCTGTTGTATACACTGTAGTAATTCCCATGTTAAATCCATTGATCTATAGTCTAAGAAACAAGGAAATCAAAGATGCCTTAGACAGATGGAAGAAGAAAATGTTTTCTTGAGAGTTTTGGACAATATTTACATAATTTGTACATTTTATTCCAAGGTAAATTTAAAACAACACGAATATTGTTGTTTTAAAATGCTGTAGAGTTGGTTCTGACTCATCACGACCCTGTGTAGTATTTCCAAAGAGTGGTTAGTGTGTGGCATACACCAGGACTCCAACACAAAAATAAGGCTTTAGAAATATGGTTTAGTACCACTTGAAGGTTGGAGGAAAATATTAGCTGAGTTTGGAAAGACTTTCATCTTTGTGAACAATTATTGTGAGTGTTTTTTAATGGAGGTCTTAACAAGGGGTTTCTTTTCGTCTTTTTAAATAATGTATTTTGTTTTGTGAGAAAGGGAACACAGCAAAGTGGGTTCTCATTTGACAATTCCTTTCAAGAGGTACCATATGAACAAGAGCTAATGATACTCAGGGAGGAAGCCCAAAGTGCATTGAAAGAATTGGCAAAGAACAAGGCACCAGGAATTGAGAGAATAAAAATTGAAAT